ACTCCCCCACCCTCCTCCCCCTGTCAGCACTGCCCCTCTCCCTCCTCAGCAGTGCTGGGGTGAGTGTGCCAGGCCTGTGCCCACCCCCTGGCCAGGAATGGCCCTGCCCCCAGTCCGCCTGGCAGGCCTGTGCCACCCCCACAGGGGGCTTGGCCACCTTGGCCCCAGAGTGGCCCGTTGTGCACACCAGGGCCACGTGGAAGGAGGCCCCTGTGAGCCATGCCTCAGCCACGCACTCCCTCAGCGGGTGGGAGCCCTGAGCCAGCCTAGGCCAGCAGGTCTCCCCCCTCCCTGCCCCATTCAGGAGGCTCCTTCCTGGAAGCTGGTCTTGACCACCCCACCCAGGCCTGGGCTACCAAGGCTCCCCAAGCTCCTCTGTGGTCACTGCAGTCCCCCCCACCTCCCGGCCCCCGGGGAACCTGAAGTGGGGGGCCAGGAAGGGTGCTTCATCACGGTGTGGCTCCCATGCACACAGTGAATAAAGCTCATTCACACAACCTGGCTGTGGTTTGTGGTGGGTCTGGAGGGGGCGTGGCCCCTTGGACACTCGGCTGTGGAACACTTACAGCAGCAGGTCCAGCAGCCAGGGACCTCCCGGCCCCAGCGGGGCTGCAGGATGGCCTGGTGGGTCGTGGGTGGGGCTGCCAGTGCAGGGGTGGAGCAGGCCTCCCGGGCGAGGCTGGTCTCAGCCGCAGCCGCTCCCTCTCCCTGGCCTCCTGGCAGCACTCAGTGTCCCATTCATCCCAGCAGGGAAGGAGGGGGGTGGGGAGCGGGCTCTCCCTGGAAGCAGAGGGAGGGAGGGAGGGAGGGAGAGAAAAGGGCAGGAAACCAGCAAAGCTGTTCTCTGAGGACGAGTGGTCAGGAGCGGTCACTGGTGTCCTTGGAGAAGCCACTGCTTTCCCTGGAAGAGGCCCTGCCCGCCTGGCCCCGCCCCTCCTCTCACGGACACACCCGCTGCCCGCCTGGCTCCGCCCCTCCTCTCACAGACACCCCCGCTGCCCGCCTGGCTCCGCCCCTCCTCTCACAGACACCCCCGCTGCCCGCCTGGCTCCGCCCCTCCTCTCACAGACACCCCCGCTGCCCGCCTGGCTCCGCCCCTCCTCTCACAGACACCCCCGCTGCCCGCCTGGCTCCGCCCCTCCTCTCACAGACACCCCCGCTGCCCGCCTGGCTCCGCCCCTCCTCTCACAGACACCCCCGCTGCCCGCCTGGCTCCGCCCCTCCTCTCACAGACACCCCCGCTGCCCGCCTGGCTCCGCCCCTCCTCTCACAGACACCCCCGCTGCCCGCCTGGCTCCGCCCCTCCTCTCACAGACACCCCCGCTGCCCGCCTGGCTCCGCCCCTCCTCTCACAGACACCCCCGCTGCCCGCCTGGCTCCGCCCCTCCTCTCACAGACACCCCCGCTGCCCGCCTGGCTCCGCCCCTCCTCTCACAGACACACCCGCTGCCCGCCTGGCCCCGCCCCTCCTCTCCCAGACACACCCCCTGCCCGCCTGGCCCCGCCCCTCCTCTCACGGACACACCCGCTGCCCGCCTGGCTCCGCCCCTCCTCTCACAGACACACCCGCTGCCCGCCTGGCCCCGCCCCTCCTCTCCCAGACACACCCCCTGCCCGCCTGGCCCCGCCCCTCCTCTCACGGACACACCCGCTGCTCCAGGAGTTTTTATTGAACATTCGTGGGGACTGTCCAAGCCATCCGCAGCCCAGAGGCCTGACACCCCTGCCGGCCTGGGCTCTCTCCTTTAGCCCACGGTCAGCACCCTGGGGAAGGTCCTGCCCGGAGTGCCTTCCGAGGGGTGTGGAGTGTGTGTTTTGGGGGAGGGCGGCATGAAAGGACCCAGGCTGGGAAGGGTGGTGGTGTGGGCAGGGTCCCGGGCTAGGGCCTGGCTGGGGCCGAGGCTGGGCCTCGCTGCTTGGCCACGGCACTCAGGAGTTGCTGCACGTACGAGGTCAGCAGGTCGTCCATCTTGTAGCCCTGGCAGAGGAAGGGGGCAGAGGCTGTGGGTCCAGGGAGGGGCTTGACCAGGCCTGGCAGTGTTCAGCTCCTGCCTCGGGGATGCCCTGAGCCAGGAGGTGAGGATGGAGAGGCCCAGAGCCCCAGCCCCACCAGGCCTGCCCAGCCCCAGGCACATCTCCTCGCACTTCCAGGCCTCCCTCCTGGCCGTGCCCACAGTGGTCGGCCTCCATGTGAGTAACAACTGGTGGCCGAGGAGTGGGGGAGGGGACCCGGTCCTGGTGCCTCTGGGTCCTGTGGGCTGGAGAAGGGACCGGTCCCAGGAGGCCCCAGGCCTGGCTCACCAGCGAGGTCTCACACAGCAGGCGGCTGCCCCGGCCCAGGCTCCCCAGCACCATGTGGAAGTAGGTGCTGCCGCTGCTCCAGCTGGCGATCTTGGTGAACGGGTAGGTGGTGAGCAGCTCCTGGGTGAAAGTGGGCGTTGGCAAAGGTCAGCTGAGCCTAGGTCTCAGTCAGAGCTGCTGCCCAGGGGGCAGGCGAGGGCCGGGGGCCACAGCACCGGGGCCGGGGCCTCTGCTACCTTGCTCTTGGGGTGGATGAGCAGGACCCCGTGCCGGTTGATGGCGATGAGGATGATGTCCGGGTAGGAGGGCTCCGAGGTTTGCTGAGGGGGAGCACGGTGGTCACAGCCCAGCCACACATGCCCCATCCAACCTGGCGACCAGCTTGGCTCCAAGGTGTGTGTTTGGGGCGCTCAGGTGGCTGGGCCAGAGCTGGGGTGGGACTTCGCGGCAAGCGCGGGCGGGCACGGGCAGGCACGGCGAGACCTACCTTCACCTCGAAGAAGGCAGACCCGAAGGTGGGCCACCGGCAGATCCACTTCAGGAAGGCCACCTTGGCCTCCTCCACCGTCTTGTCCCTGTGCTGGTCGTAGGCCAGGAGGATGCTCTGCGGGAGTGGAGGCCAGTGAGGCCCGGCGGGAGCCTGCCGTCTGGCTCCACCTGGGCCCAGAGGCCTGGGGGGCAGGGCGCTTAGCCCCTGGGGAGTGGGCACGGGAGGCGGATGCACTCAGACCCAGCCCAAACTCCACCCCAGGGGTGTGCGCCGCCCGCCCAGGCCAGCAGCCAGAGGGACCTTTCTCCATTCCTCCGGGGACATCAGGCGTGTCAGGTTCTCAGGCACCAGCTCCCCCAGGACCTTGGGGATGCTCGCCAGCTGGGCTGGGTCACTATCGAACTGGGCCTTGCAGATGAGGCCTGCCAGCTGGACTGCGTCCTCCCGCGAGCACTTGTGGAACCCGCGCAGGTACTTGGGCAGCTCCTGGCGAGGGACACGCGGCCTCAGGCTGCTGTCCTCCTGGTCAGGGGCCCGCCCACCCCTGCCGGACGGAGCCGCAGGAAGCTAAGGCTTTGGGCTAGGGTTCCTCCGGGGCAGCGGCCCGACGAGGCGGGCAGAGCCCGGCCATCCCGCGGTGGACACTGTGGCCTCCCTGCACAGTCGGCCCTCAGGACAAGGGCCAGTGCCCTCGGGCTGCGTGCCCCCAGCGATGCTGTGGGTGCTGGCACAGTTGCTGTCCCCACAGGCTCAAGGGGTGGCCTGACCATCACGGGACCTCACGGGCCTTCCTCCCTTCAGAGTGGGTGTGGGCGGGAGTGAGGGTGCCCCCCGGGGAGCCTCCCGGGCACCTGGTGGTAGTGGAGCACAGTGTCTGCATTCATGTCCTTCCCAGGGGCCACGCCAAGCCACAGTTTGCGCATGAAGTAGACCTGGTAGGGGAGCGTCAGCGGGGCCCCTGGGCAGGGGCAGCAGTGAGCACCGGAGCCACTCCCGCTGGCCAGGCTCTGTGCCATGCCCACCCTCCCACGGCCGGCCCCACGGCCACCCCACCCCTGCCCAGCTCGCTCTCCTGGACACCCCATGCCGTGTCGCAGGGGGTTTGCTCCTGCCGCCTCCTCTGCTTGAAAGGCCCCCCTCCTGCCCCAGCCCTGCGCCTCCTCCTCCCAGACCAGCGAGAAGCCGCCCTCTCCAGAAAGGTCCCTGGGCCGCCCTGTGTGCGTCAGGCCCCTGTCCAACCCCACGCCCGCAC